TAAATTCTCTCAAATACAAATTATTAGGTAAACAACAAAATACCACATTTCAAAATATCAATGTTACAATCATTAGAGCTCGGTTTGTTTAATTACACAAATATTCGATATTAATTAACTTGGAACACTAAATAATTGGCAGTTACGTTGCGTAGGTATCATTAGTTTTGTAAGCTTTCTGCTTCATTAACGTTTCGTGTATAGGAGCGATATGTTAAGTCATTTACTGTGGTTTATTGGCGGAAAAATTGGCTGTTTTTTTTTCTATTGACTATGGTTGGTTACATTGAACATGATGCTGATTAAAGATATAGCGTGCGTATATGGATGGTACTCGTTAGTAAGAGGCGCATATTAATCGGAGATCTCCAACTTGCCTGCTATGAGTGGCTTATTAATTCAGCCGCGGCCCATCATTGCATCGCAAATACGCATCAGATATTTGTTAAAAGTCGTGATGTTTTGGGCATAATTCCAAAGCTTACTGACTTTTGTTCTAACAACAAACATCTAACGCATCGTTAGCCATTTGTTTACTGATTATCCTAAAATCGCCCTTTGAAATTATTCACGGTAAATCAACCCTTCACTAGTTTAATCTGCGATTAGATTCAAAGTGCACCAGACGTCCAATTAGTTGGTGATTCGTTTGTTTGTTAACAAACGGGGATGCAACCCCATAGCCCTGCTAACGAGCGAGCTAATTAAATCGGTAGTCGATGTTTGATATCGTATGCAACTTATTAGGTAGGCATAATGAGCAATGAGCATCGCTTTTTAAAAGGAGGTTTGTAACAACGCCTGTCAAAGTTATCATAGACAATTGATTTGATGCTGGCTGAATGGATTACAAGTTTATTTTGAATTTGAATTAGGAATAGCATCGGTTCGGTGATCGGTTTTTCATATTGTTATGATTGTTTGCATTTGCGATATTACTATGCCATATAGTTGGTATTTTGTTAAATAAAAATTAGTGATTCCGTAGTTGGCGACGCACTCGTGGTGGTGGTGTACATGGGTCACGGTGATCGTTTACTACCAGGCGGACAGTAAGTAAGCCCTTTTGCTAATAAATAGTACTTAAAAAATCGACGTCTTGATTTAGATATTACTATTTGAAGCTTTGTTTTATATCAAAAGCAATTCAATGAAAATATTAATTTGTAAACAAAAATAACATGGAGGCATTTTAAACTATATTTGGAACCATGCTCATATTGATGGCATGCTAAAATAAGTTAAGCTAAAATTCTTAGAATACTCGATATATTTCAGTAGTACATTCATGATATATTTTAAATATAAAGCGCAATTCATAGTTCGAAATGTTAAAAATCTTTAAAATTACAAGAGGTACTTCAACAGCAGTAGGTACTTTAGTATTTCATAAACATCACTTTATTTTTCATGTTTTTTATTTGTATTCTAATTACGACCTTATACAAACTTTGGTATTTTGGTTATATTTTAAAAAGACTATAATGAATAATTAGATCACTATAACAATTTGGCATTTGTCTATTGTAGTAATACTGGGTTATTTCAAAATATCCCAGCAGTAGCACGGAGTCTGGAATTGTGACTCGTAACATAAATAGTGAAAAGTGGGTGTTACATTGTACAGCGGCATAATCTGCACCTCTGCCTACCCCTTCGGGGATAAAAGGCGTGATGTTATGTTATGTCAACATAAAAACTAAAAGTCATTCACTCAAAATATTTAAGATATGTACCACGAAAAATAATGCTTATGGTCCAAAAGATAGAATGTACTATACGGTACCTTATCCTTCATAAAAAATGTGTAAAGTTCACCCCCGAGTCACTTGGGGTCCTGAAAATGTTAATAAAATGGGTAGGCGTGGCTTGGACCGTCACGCCCTCTAGGGGATGAGTTTACCCTCAATCTGGGTTTGGGGTAATATGCGTTCTTTAACACTAGAGGTGAACGCGGAGTTGAAACCGGTTTTTTTGTTATGTTATAGAAAATGGGTAGTTATATTGTTTCGTTTGATTTTGTAATGTTAACGGTTGAAATCGATATCGCTTTTTTTGGTTTGATATCGATTTCTTTACTTTAGTTGTATATTTTATTGAGTTTGTGCCTAAAACCGAGTTTGTGGATTATGGTTAGTCATTGATCAAGTAATTTGTCGTTAAAGTTACAGTTTGTAGACTGACTTTTAAATATTCGAACATTAAAAATTATCTTTCTTTTTCTTGAGTTTTGTTGTAATAATAATAGTTGTAGTAATACTCACGTGAATATACTGAGAAAAGCTCTATTAGTTTCGAACCACAGAGGGGTACTTCCTCGTGAGCAGCGTGCGCGGTCGCGGCGATGTCGCGCAGCCTACTCAGTAACTAGCGATTTTTAGTTAATTTAGTATGTCTCACGATAGTTATTATAAAAAGCGTTGTAATCTATTGTAAGTACCGTATTTTTTATTTATTCTTTATGCACTGAACCAAATGGTACAGCAGAGGGCTGAAAGCCATGGTTATTGTCTGTCGGAGACATAGAGAGGATTTGTAGTAGATAGACGATGAATATCTGCCATGAACATGATAAATACATCGAGACTTTATACTGCTGGAGCTATTTGCAGGTGGATATGCGATTGGAGTTTAAAAGGTTCAGGTTTATCAGTACTCTGTTACATGAGTACTAGGCAGGTTAGTTGGCTTACATGACACCGCAGGAAAGAGCATACCAGGTATGGTAGAAAACCTAGGTTATGGTAGACCATAGCATACCTACTTTACAGTATGTCGTGGTGGCCCGGAGGTTTAAGACGCCCGTTTCTCATGAAGGGCGCCGGTTCGAAACCTACCAATGACAAGTATCAATGTGACTTTTTCCGAGTTATATGTAAGTACTCTCTAATGATTATTTAGACATCACTGACAAACGGTGAAGGAAAACATCGTGAGGAAACCTAGACTTATGATTTATAATTATAAGTTTGAAATCGCCAACCCGCATTGAGCAAGCGTGGTGATTAATGTTCTAACCTTCTTCGTGTGAGAAGAGGCTTTGCTCAGAAGTGGGCATTTATAGGCGATGATAGTATACTTTATTACAAACGTAATAAAGTAGTTTTTACATTTAAAAAGTCACTATTATTACCAAATAACATTTTTTTCAAAGCATCAACAGATTAAATTCGTTTCCAACAATAGCTATTATTGCACCCTTAGATTCTAAGCCCCCTATCTTCCCCAATTGTTGCCACACGCAAAAATGAATTATTAGTGTTGCCAAATGGGGCGGGTGTGGGTAGAAACGGTTGGGCGTAGGGGCGTAACGGATATTGGTCATATAAATAAATTAGTAGCAAGATGTAGGAAATTAAGTGTTATTTTGGATGTGGGTATGTTTATGTAGCCTGCACTGATATGGGGATAGGTAGGTTTATTATTTAAGGTCCAAAGTCAAAGTCAAAGTCGAAGTCAAAGCATTTATTTCAATTAAACCATAATTTGGTACTTTTGAAACGTCAACAAATACAAAATAAATAATAGGCTGTCAGTCAGTCCGTCAGTAAAGCTAGGTTAAGCTAGGTGCTCATTTAAAAATTTCATAAGAAAATTATTATAATGTCCAGGGTTTCATTAATCTAGGCTATCAAAAATATACTTATACAAAACTAAAATTGTAATACCTACCTACCGTTTAAAAGCTTTAACATAAAAATTTTGTGGTAAAAGTTAATTTAAATAATTTCGAAAAATGACTAAATGCATGTGAAATCGAATACTTTCCCATCAAACCACAAAAATCATATTTCCATCAAAAATTCACACATTTTTAATATTAAGCTAAAAATCTGACATGCCAAGACAAAATAATAGATATCTAATTAAAAAAATATCGTAGATAAACCATAAATAAAAATGGACGCTCATTTGCCGAACGTAATTTAAATTCAAATCGTATAAATTATATTTTTATTCTTAAACTCCACGTCCGAGGTGAGAAAATACTATTGATTAAAATAAATCAACATTGGGAAACTAGACTTAGATTAAATGCGTATATTTATCAAGAAAAACGAAAAAAAAAATCATTTTGATTCGCCGCTTACCTACTTACTCATAGTATATTTTTTATAGTAAACGCTCACGCGATGAATCCCATTAATATTGTAAGAATGCTACTGACAGTCTCCGTTTTTTAAGTCTTTGATCTTTGACTATGTAGATACAATAATAAACAGTTAATTTTTTTAATTTTAAAAAGTTTTTAAACTTAACCAAGTTATCTAAATCTAAAAACAAGAGAATAATAATATATAAGTTGTGAAATGCCAACGGAATCATCAACAAATAATGTTCTTTTTATTTATAAATTGGAGTGTCAATATTTATTTGTCTATTTTTTTTCTTTTATAAACGGCAATCCGTGGAATTCTAAATACGACTTGGCGACTTATTATTTATGTTCAAATAAATATGCAGTTTTTTATCATTTCCAGCTATTAGCTACCAAATTGTGAAATGGATTTACTTTCGTAATTCATAATTCGACAACATTTTAATCGTAGATATTTGTCATATCGAATGTTATCGGAATACTGGCATTGTAGATAGGCCTAAACTGGCACGCGACGTGTGTCACATTTCCCACTTCTTTATATAATTTTATAGGTAATTTCTTATATTTTGTCACTTTGACTTCATAAAAAAACAATTATATTTACTGTTTCATGTCAAAAACATAAACACAGCCGACGGCCCTCGGTTTAATTCATAATTTGTACTCAATGATTTTAACTTTAAACAAACGGAGGGTATGTTTTAAAAAGTAGTAATTACATAAGAAATTAATGAAGGTATTAAACAATTGTTAAAGGTCAATGACATGTTAATACAACTTTTAATTAAAACTTTGAAAAACATACACTCTATTGTTTTTCTGCAGAAAATATACAAGTTGACAGGCCGTTTCCGACATATTTCACTTGCAGACGTCAAAAAACAAAATAAACACTCACCTATTTACGTCAAAATCCAAACCTCCAACTGTTTACGAACGCACTGACTGTGAAACTTGATAAATGCACTCGACAATAAAAAAGAAAAATAAAAAAAATATTTTAAAAACGTTAATCATCCGCGATCGATCACTCAGCACGAACAAGACACGACTGAGACGTTGTATCAACAAATTATCTTATCAAAAAACACGTTTAATCGAAGATTTATTAAAAAATCGAAGTCCGTAATGTTTTCGTTGTGTACTTAGGCCTTTTTGTAAGTTAGCACTGCACTTGTGTGGTGTCGTAGGAATACGACGCGAGCGCTGGCGTGGTCGAAGCCAGACTGCCGCAACGAGTCGCCCCTCTCGTCGCACGCCCCACCCGAGGCCAATTTTTCAGGTAAAAAAAACGGGAAAACAGATAACACTTTCTGTTTATTATCTATTTGGCGACAGATTTTAGTTACCTGCTAGGCTGTATGCCGGTGGTCTGTGCCTGCTTTTGTCTTTTTGCCGAGCTCTATTGTTCTGTGGGCGTTCACTGTTGGCGCCAGGGGGCACGTGCTAATACTGTCCCCAGCTAATAATTATTTATTTATGAGGAGGTTAATAACTATATTTGTTTTTATTATTGTTGCGTATAGGTATTGTACCTATTGATTGACTTTAACTATCCCATGCACAAACTAAATTGCGTAAGTTGCATGATCAGCATTCAGAAAAAAAAAATAACTATGTCCATGATTTTTTTTTATTTTTTTTTTCTGTTTATAAAATGGATGTTAACAAAACTGTGAAATTGACAAAAAATATCGAAAACGTACAACAATGATGGCTTTAAAATTTGAAGTTAATAATTGAGACATTAATTTCGAGTTACGTGCGTCAAATAATTTATTTAGTCAATTAATATTTTTGTAACAGTCAATAATTTTACTCAATACTTCTATACAAAAATATGACGAAATTAAAATAGATTTATATACAAACTGACAACTTGTTTATCATGAATCATTGCGTTTTACCTTTAAATTTACATATTTCATGATTTTTTTTTACTAAGTCCTTACCTATCTATTGTTATAGACTTTAATAAATACAATTTTATTAATGTCTAGTTAAAACATAATAATATTACAATCAAGATTTATGTAAGTACCATCTTTAATATCTTTAAATATTTTTTTCATTATAAAAATTAAATTAACTACAAAATTGTTTTGAAACCTATTTCTAAGCGTGACATTAGAAAATAAGTGGGTTCGTTAGAAAAAAAAATAGTTAATAATGTTAGTAACATCACGCCTTAAATTCTCCATATTGGTAGGTAGAAGTGAGTACATTTAAACTGTCAAACACCACGAGGACACCGGTGACCGCAACCTATTGTATTGTAAACCCGATTGAAAAAGAGTAACCTATGAAGTTTCTTGCTCGTTCTTCTCCATAGGAATCAACACCTTGGAATGAGCAACTAGCTTCACTTCTAATTTTTTTTTGCTGTTGACGTTCAAAAGTGCCTTCCTGGTCTAATTGAAATAAATGACATTGACTTTGCCTTTTGGCTTTGACTTATTGTTCTTTAATTGTGTCTATAATGACGGTACTCAACGAGTTAATGTTATAATTAGACGAGTTTGTCGTTGGGGTCGGGAGAGGCATATGTTCAGTGGTAGCTGTTTCGTGGTTGGTATATGACAATGATGATGATTTTTTTATGCCATAAGCCAGTAAACAGACAGGAACAGACAGAGTAGACGAATCACCAGATGGAAAGCAATCGGCGTCGCCCCTGGACACAAGGAACACCAGAGGAGTTACAAGGTAAGTTCGTTACCAACCTTTTGGGGTTTACGAATTTAAGGATTGTTGGGGATTCAGGGATTGGGGAGATGGCCTCTGGTAAATGAAGAAATATAACGCAAGCGTCGTTTCATGTCACGTTCATCACGTTGATGATGAGTATATACCTATATTGCTAATATCGTAACCAGGATTCATACTGCTGCAATACAATTAATATGCATCACATAACATAACATCACGCCTTTTATCCACGAAGGGATAGGCAGAGGTATACCACTGTACAATGTAACACCCACTTTTCATTATTTACGTTATGAGTCCCTTGTAATACGGGGTGAGCCTATTGCCATATACCGGGCACAATTCCAGACTCCGTGCTACTACTAAGAATATTAAAAAAACCCTGTAATACTATGCCCGACCTGGGAATCGAACCCGAGACGCCTTGCCCGGCAGTCGCACTTACGACCTCTCTCGGCCAATGAGGCAGTCAACACCACATAATATTATATATAGCTACTCTAAGATGTTACCCGTTGCTCGGCACTATTTGACCGTAGCGTGATATTTAATTACCTTAGCCTTCGTCGACAAATCCTCTACTATCCAACATTACAATAATTATTCAATTCTTACCAGTAGTTCGGGTTATTGTCGCATACAAATATATAAACGATTCATCTTTAATTAGTATTGATACGAGAGTTCGTGACGATGTATTGTATACATATGTACACTGTACAACATAGTAAAATTATTACTAAGTCCTACTCAAAAACTACAAAACAGATTAAGATGAAACTTGGCACAGATATAGGTAACAAACAGGAATAAGCTAGGTAATAATAAGTTTTTCGGAACAGGTCTCTTCAGAGGACCCGGTTCCCCTTACAGGTGCTGAGGGTGGCCACCGGGGTGGTTTTAGTGAGGTAAGAATCCCACACTCCCTAGTCTTTCTCCCCAAAAAGCTAGGCCCTTTTGAAGGTTTTTTTTTAAGGGGGGAAAATCATCGAATGACTGCTCCCGCCTGGGTGAGGCGGAAGGGAGTGTCAGACTGTTACTGACTAAAAACCACCCCGTTCCTTCTCCTGCACGTCGAGCCGGAGCCCCGGTTACCCGGTTTCCCCCGACATAAAAAAAAGGTAATAATAAGTTTACAAGTGACACAAGGAATAATATCAAAATATTAACTAAAACCTCATTCATTGTTAGAAATTGTCACTTATTTGAGTATGAAAAGTAATGACACCCGAAGATCCTCATTGTTGTCCTACCAGTGTTGCGATAATATTGTTTTAAATGTTTTGTCCTTTAAAATTATTTATTGTTAGTCTCAAAATGAGAACTGATGGCTATGGCTAGGTCTTTTGTCCTATTCCTTTCACCTAGACTTAATCCTACCTTTTAATAACAAGTTAAAAACAGAAAAAAGATTATAGACAATTACTTTTTTTACCAAAAAGGTGGGATTAAGATAGTGCTCAAGAATTGTCTGTGTTATGTTCCTGAATGGGAGTTTTAAAAAGATTGGCTGTAAAATAATAATGTCTGTGGTGTTTGAGGTGTAATATACTATTTACTAGCTTTTACCCGCGGCTTCGCTCGCGTCACAAAAGGATAAAAAGTAGCCTATGTGACATATATCAATACACAGCCCCATCTATACCAATACTTTTGTTTTCCCTTGGGAATATCAAATTTTCCGGGATAGAAAGTACCATATTATTTAATCCAGACTTCTAACTTTACGTCTGCAAAAATTCAAAGCAATCGGTTTAGTAGTCACGGCGTGAAAGCGGAACAAACAAACATACAAACTCACTTTTCAATTTATAATATTATAGTACTAGCGACCCGCCCCGGCTTCGCACGGGTGCAATATGCATGTATTATACATACAAACCTTCCTTAAGAATCACTCTATCTATTAAAAAAAACCGCATCAAAATCCGTTGCGTAGTTTTAAAGATCTAAGCATACATACGGACATACAGCGAAAGCGACTTTGTTTTATACTATGTATTGATATAGTATTATAGTATAGTATAGTATTTATTTGTGTCTTCTTGTCCCATGAATTGATTTGAAGTAGAGTTTACGATACTGTTGAAATGCAAAGATTCGTCTTTTACAAACGTACATACCTGCATACATAACCTCACGCCTATCTCCCAGAGACTATGGAACGCCAATTGCTACGATTCTTACATACCTCTTTCGCTTCATCAATACTCATTAATTTTCATGTATGCTCGTCAGTTAAGGGTACTTTTAATTCGGTCCTTCTTTAGCCGCTTGAATGCACCGATATAAGACACAATAGAAAATACATTGTGTCTAGCGTGAATCCACGTTCAGACACACGACGGGTTAATCACCACGGTTGCTCAATGCGGGTTAGCGATTTCAAACTTATAATTAAAAATTATAAGTCCAGGTTTCCGCATGGTATTTTCCTTAACCGTTTGTCAGTGATGTCTAAATAATCTTAGAAAGTAATATAACTTGGAAAAAGTTACATTGGTACGTGCTGTTGGTAGGTTTCGAACCCGCACCCTCATGCATAAGAAGCGGGCGACTTAACCTCCGGGCCACCACGACGCTTTTCCCAACCCGGGAATCAAACCTGAGACCCGTTACTCAACGAGCATCTTGCCAATCTCACTTGAGACAATTAAAAATAATTTAAGAAATGCGTTGATGTCTTTTGAGAACTACAAGTTATAGGTAACGGGGCTACGGGCTACAGGCTACGAAATATTAATTTATTATTCATAAACACATGCATAATTGTTATTACAAGTCAAAACATGACTGCACGGCTGGTGCGGTGGCTGGGCAACCGTTTGCCGTGCAACGTGTTGCGGCTTCGATTCCCGCACGGAACAACACTTTCTGTGATTAACAAATTGTTGTTTCTGATCTGGGTGTCATTGTGTATGTGAACTTGTATGTTTGTAAACGCACCCACGACACAGGAGAAAATCCTAATGTGGGGCAACGTTTTTTAAAAAAACATAAACATTATACAGAAACATAGGCTTGAGTGAATAGGTTGCTTATGGGACGACGTGCTCCATCGTAGACCTTATCATAGCTTACCACCGGCAACAGGCGACATAGAAATAAAAAGACTAATTTTACTTCTTTACACGTATGTAGGCAATAGGTATCTTATATAAAAAGTACAATCATTTATAATAACTTAAAACTAATTCATCAGCCATTAAATTTTTTGTAAAATCTTATACATACATTCGCGACATACATCCTTCCATCTCGCTACGAACAGATCACACTCTTGTGCGGACGCCAAGAGATCATTGAGCAGAATATGTTACCACATTAGAATAAGATAAAAATATTTCTTATGTTTTAAAATTGTATCTTACGTTAACTAGTTGATGCTTTGGACTTGATATACAAGCTATATACCTACTTATTATTTAAATTACGTTTTATTTAAGGGGGGAAAATCATCGAATGACTGCTCCAGCCTGGGTGAGGCGGGAGGGAGTGTCAGAC